GTCTATGGAGGGAGCCCGGGCCCTGTCCTCCCCGAGCCCCCGCCCAAGGGCCCCCAGGCTCAGGGAGCTCTTGGCGCAGGCCACGTGGAGGACGTGCTGCTCATCATGGACGTGTACAAGCTGGCGCTGAGCTTCCAGCTGTGCCGCCTGGAGCAGCTGTGCCGGCAGTACATCGAGGCCTCCGTGGACCTGCAGAACGTGCTGGTCGTGTGCGAGAGTGCCGCCAGGCTGCAGCTGGGCCAGCTGAAGGTGCCTCGCGGCCCGCCCCGCCCACTGCCGCCTGCCCCTCGCCTGCCCGGTCCGCCGCCCGGTTGGGGCCGAGGCCTGACCCCGCCCGTCTGTCCGGCCTGTCTGTCCCAGGAGCACTGCCTGAACTTCGTGGTGAAGGAGTCCCACTTCAACCAGGTGATCATGATGAAGGAGTTCGAGCACCTCTCATCGCCGCTGATCGTGGAGATCGTCCGGCGGAAGCAGCAGCCGCCGTCTCGCGCCCCCTCGGACCAGCCCGTGGACATCGGTAGGAAGCCTAGTCCTTTCCCTGCCAGGGGCCGGCCAGGTAGCCTTCATCATGGTCAAGACTGGGAGCCATGGGACACCTGCCAGGCTCTCAGGCAGGGGGGAGGGGTGGGTGCAGAGGACCCCAGTGTGTCCCCTGGTGCAGGGCAGGGGCCAAGAGGGAGGCAGGTCAGGCTCAGGTAAAGGAACGAGGGCCCACTCCCCGGACTTTCCACGGTGGGCGTGTGCCTGTGGGTAGGGAACCTCCGGAGCCCGTTTCTGCCGGGGATACGGGGCACCTCTCTGGTGAGGGTGCTGCCCTGCATGACATCCGGTCTGAGAGCCTCTGAAGTGGGCGATGTGCTCAGTGATTAGTCACCAAGCTTCTCTTCTAAGCGTGCCCATGCCTGGGGCCCAGTGAGGGGGGAGCACAGCCTGCAGACCTCAGATGCTCCCACTGCTTTCCTGTGCCCCTTACCTGGGAAGGGAGGGCACAGGCTCCTTCATCCTCATCTCTCTCTGGGGCCTGTGCTGACCCTGGTCACTGCCCCGGGCAACACACAGCAGGCACACGGCGTGCCAGGCGCAGAGGAGGGCTCAGTGAGCTGAGTTTGGGAAATCAGACTCTGGGGGTGGGCATGCCTGAGGGCTGTGTGTGGAGCTGAGGACAGGGCCTGATGGTGCCTCATGGGCCCAAATGGGGCCTCTTGCCTGGAGGAGGTTCACTCAGGGTGGCAAATGGGCAGATGTGCGGGAGGAAGTGCCCGGGGGCCCTGAGGCCCGAGTGAGGGGCAGGGTCTACTAAGGGACAGGAGGTGCCTGCTCAGGGTCCCTCCATGCCCCTCCAGGCACATCTCTGATCCAGGACATGAAGGCATACCTGGAAGGGGCCGGCGCGGAGTTCTGTGACATCACGCTGCTGCTGGATGGGCACCCTCGGCCAGCCCACAAGGCGATTCTGGCCGCCCGCTCCAGGTGGGTAGAGGTGTAGCTGCCAGGCAGGCGGGGCCCAGGCAGGCGCCGGCTGCACCCGCTAAGAGCCAGGCCTCTGCCACCCCCTGTCTGCAGCTACTTTGAGGCCATGTTCCGGTCCTTCATGCCCGAGGACGGGCAGGTAAACATCTCCATTGGGGAGATGGTGCCCAGCAGGCAGGCCTTCGAGTCCATGCTGCGCTACATCTACTACGGGGAGGTCAACATGCCTCCTGAGGACTCACTGCATCCTCACCCCCAAGGGTGCTCCCCGGGCTTTCCACAGCGGGTTCCCAGCATCCACCTCGGGCAGCCTGGCCGGCTGGTCTTGGCTGGGTGATCTCCCGAGGGCTTTTGGTGGTGGTGCTCTCCTAGGGCTCTCTCAGGTAGTTGGTCATGTGGCACCGAGGGCTTTGTAACCAGGAGGGATAGTGGGTTCTTGATCTCATGGCTGTTTGGAGTGAGGGGGTGGTCATTGCTATGTGACAGGGGAGCAGACGGACACAGAGTGATTCCTGGTCACGGCCCTTCAGTGGGGGGTCTGAACGTGGGGTGCGAGGATCTCCTTTAGGGCTCTGAGAGACTGGCCAATAGGAGTGTTTTCCTGGGGAGAGGGTGCTGTGGTGTTTTTGGAATCTTGATGGGGCTTTTGACCCCTAAGTGGTCAGAGTCTGTGTAGAGATCAAGCCAGTGATCTGCTTGGATTGGAGCCCATGCCAGACTCTCCTGGTGGGGCAGGTCCCCTGGCTCTGAGCATGTGCAGTCTCGGGTTTTCTCTGCCCCCGGGAGGAGGGCGGTGAGCGGGAGGATGGCTCCTTTGGCGACAGCTCCTTAACCAGCTCCCCCAGCTACCTGTTCGCGGCTCCCTACTACTACGGCTTTTACAACAACCGGCTGCAGGCGTACTGCAAGCAGAACCTGGAGATGAATGTGACGGTGCAGAACGTGCTGCAGGTAGTACACCTGGTGCCTGCTGGCCTCCCCGCACCTGGGCAGGTGGGTGAGAGGTGGGGGCAACCCCTCAACGATCCTGCCATTCCAGATCCTGGAGGCGGCTGACAAGACGCAGGCACTGGACATGAAACGGCACTGCCTGCACATCATCGTGCACCAGTTCACTAAGGTGAGGCCCTCCTGGCTCTGCGCTCACTGCTCACCCCTCACCTGCTCACCCCATGACCCTCTCTCCATGGCAGCAGCCGTGGCCAGGCGGGGGGAGGGGCCCGGAACCTTGCCATCTTCTGCAGCCGTAGGCCCTGGGGATAACCAAGCAGAGCCACTCCCCCTCTGGCCACTCCTCGCCCCATCTTAGGAGCCCACTCAGCCCTCACATGAACCCAGTTCCATCCTGTTCTGGTCCACCCCCACAGGTCTCCAAGCTGCCAACGCTGCGCTCGCTGAGCCAACAGCTACTGCTCGACATCATAGACTCCCTGGCCTCCCACATCTCCGACAAGCAGTGTGCCGAGCTGGGCGCAGACATATGAGGCCCAGGCAGTGCCAGCCACAGATGGAGAATGACCGTGCCTGCCCTGCCCCCTGCAAAAACTGTTTTGGCAGTCCTCAGGCTTGCAATAGCGATCAGACCCGCTGGCCAAAAGGCAGGGCGCCCGGAGCCGCAGAAGAGAGCTGAGGGGACACGGGGGGGCTCCAAATGCCCCATTTCACAGTTGATGACACAGGTCACACAGGAAGTGGATGGTGAAACAGGCCCCCCAGGTGGCCTCCTCTCCTGGGATGGAGGCGTGCGTGGGAAGCTGGGGCTCAGTGATAGGAAGAGGCAGGATTCCCGGCCTGGGTCCATCAGGGAATCCCACAGGGACCCAGCATAGTTGTGCATCTGGCTACAGTCATGTTGGTCTTCAATGTGGGGGTCACACAGGCCCCCCTCACCAAGGATGGTATAAGGGCTCCCTGGAGCTTATGCATGGGCACCTGTGATGGGCAGATGGAATCTGATTCAAGATGAATTTTGGAGTGTGAAGGGCCCTGGGGCCAGTTCTTAGCCCACAGGGCCAACCACTCTGGACTGGGTCTGGATTCCAGAGGGACTTCAGGATCCCACATTATCTGTGTGTCCACCCCCCTGGGCTGTGCCGAGGAGGAATCAGTAAAGACGCCCCCAGTCCCTGTGTATCCGTGTTCTGTCACAGGCACGCCTCTGTTGAAGCTACAGCAGTGCTACCTACCACACACGCCTTGCTGGTATGGTCCCCACCGGTGGGCTCTGGCCCTGGCCTTTGGCCCTCGCACAGCTGCGGATGGGCCATGTGGCCCAGTTGCTTGGGATTTGTCAGTCTTGCCTGGTTCTCTGTCAGCAACTTCTCACCCGCACCTGAGGCAACCAGACCCAGGGAGGAAGGGGCTGGCAGGAATCCAGGCTGGCTTCTCCCTCCTGAGCCTAAGCCTGGGGCTCCTGCAGGGGGTGGAAATGCAGCCTTTCCTGTCCCCCCACAGCAGGCCCTGTGATTGCACCCCAATGCGGAAGGCACCGTTCAGCCTCCTTCTGGGAATAAGAATCCCAGGGACCCTGCTGCCTCAGCTTCTAGGAAGCCACTTTGGGGGAAATGATCTTTCTCCCCTGCCTCAGGGTTCACCTTCCTCTGGCTGTGCCTCGTGCAAACGCACCTGCCACTCAGCCCTTGAAGAGCCTGGGTGTAGGCGGATGAGGAGCCGCTGTGGCAGGTGAGCACCCTTAGGCAAGGGAGCCCATCCATAGAGCAAAATGAGCTTGGCGGCCCTGGGGGACCATCTGCAGATCCTGCTTTACAGTGGACGACTTGGGACCCTTGTAACTGGTCACCTGTCTTTTCTAGACATGCTGTAAATAAATGAAGCCACATAAAAAGCAAATTTCAGAACTGTGTGGCGACTCACAGGACTAGAAAGAATTCAGCTGTGCTCTTGGGGCTGTTGTGGCCAAGGCCCAGCAGGCAGGCATCACCTGTGCGGTTCCAGTCGCCCCATGCACGAAGCTACTATGATTACAGGAGCAGGGAAGCCTTCTAGATTTCAGTCAAGTTGAATTAAAATGGGGACACAGATGGAAGCCAGGACTGCTGCTGTGTGCTTCCCCCACTTCTCCAGGGACCAGAAATGCTGAGCCTTACTACTTGCCAAGCATAGCAGCCCTAGAAGATCAGAAAATACTATTTTTGTCCTGATTTTCAGATGAGATAGGCCCATCTGAGTGGGGGCTGGCCTTCAGGCCAGGACTCAGGCTGGAAGCCGGATGGGTCCCTGGAAAGGAACTCTCTGGCTTGGGTTTTTAGGAGCATTTCCCAAAAAACCAGTTTGTGTTGGCACCTGTTTCAGGTGCCAAAGGAAGGTGTCTAGTGCTGCCCCAGCCTCTACTTATGCCATCCCCACCCTCAGAGAACCCGTGGGGTACGGAACTGCATGGGGAGGTGCAGGCAAGAGCTGTTCTCCGTTATCTGCAGCCCAGGGTCTGAGCCTTCTGGGGGCTGCAGCCACTGACTGGGGGAACAAGCCCGGTACTGAGGCAAGCGCCCAGCCCTCAGCTGAACCAGATATAGGGCCTCCTAGAACCCACTTTATTGGGGCAGCTGGTAGGTCTGGTGGATGCAACTCAAAGCAGGTCCCTTTCCAGGTGGATTCCGAGGAAGAGGCTGGAGCCCTGACAGGCACCCCCTCATCAGCCGTGGGTCCAGCGGCCCCTCACTCAGGTCATGCTGTTGCTCAGCTGCATGGCAAAGTCCTGCACGTGTTCCTTCAGAGTCTGGCGGGCATCTGCCTGTGCCCGCTTCTCCCGCGCCCTCTCCTGCTGTAGCTTGGTTAGCCGCAGCCGCAGTCGCTGTTCCCGTCGCTTGCAGGCCTGCAGCTGGCGCTGGGCCTTGTCCAGGGCATCGAGTGCAGCCTCAGCCCTCCGCTTCCAGAGCAGGGCACTGCCCACCTGGTAGCTGTGCTCATTCTGGATGTAGGCTCCAGCGGGTGGTGGGAGGCGCAGCATGTAGGCGGAGGGTGAGACAGGCCGAGGCTCGAGAGGGGACGGCTGCCGCTCTGGCTCCCGCTCCGGCGAGGGCTGGGCGCTGCAGCCTGCTTCATCTGCTTGGGCACCCAGAGGCCCCAGGAGGTCTGAGAAGGGACTGCTGAGGCCAGGCTCCAGCCTCCCCACAGGGGAGGCAGGCAAAGCAGCAGGTGCCGAGGCCTCTTCCACGGGAAAGCAGGTGACCTCGGCAGGTGGAGGTGGAGAAAAAGGAGTTGTGGGTCCTCGGCCCTCAGGGCAGCTGTGGGGGAGAGAGACTGACAGGTCAGGCTAAGGGCTTGCCAGGCCCCGCTTCACCAGCCCCCCTGAACAGGAGCACCAGCTCGCTCCATAGGCTCAGGACCCTGTCCATAACTGCTGCTGGTAGACACTCTAAAGCCCAGTCCCTCAAAATTGGGGCGAGTGGAGCAACCCTCACCCACAGCACATACCGCTTCCTGCATCGCCGGAGCCGGCTGACATCGGGGGGACCAGGTGGGTAATGGTGCCCCTTGGTCTTGGTTGTCCGGCGCAACTTGGTGAAAGACTCAAATATCGTGGGAACTGCCCCCTCCTTCAGCCTGTGATACCCACTGTTGGGGAAAGCAACCTGGATGAGATAGAGAATGAGCATGGCCACCCCCAGCTGACGTGCAGGGATCAGAGTGAGCATGCCTTCCAGCACCCTGGAGCTGGCTCTCCCGTTCTAGCAAACAATTAATTTGGAGAATGCCAAATCGGGCAGAGTTACACCAATCTCTTCCCTGCAGGACTCCTCAAAGTTAAGGTGTGTGGAAAGGCTCCACCAGAACTGGGTTGACCAGTAAAAGGAATTATTTCATTTGTGGACTTGGTGGGAGGACTGGGGTTCTAAGGAATACTTGCTGGAAAAGCTAATGTTTTCCTCTGTGTCACTGGCATAGCCATCCCGAGGGGCTGGGTCTTACTGATCTCATCTGCTGCAAGAGGAAACTGAGGTACAGAGCTGGGAAGAGACAGCCATCCCTGAAACTAGGTCTGCCTGTCTTCGTACCAGGTGATTCTGGATACAGATTTGGGCCCTACAGGTACCCCAATGCTGGCTGGCAAGGAGGCTCACCTGATTCCCACCAGCTCAAAGCAGTTCTCCTCGAAGTGTTTGGAGCAGAAGTAGATGTACTCGGATGATGGGTCCCATAGGCCCTGGCCGCTGGGGTCCAGCCTCTGGCAATTGGCCAGCCACAAGCCTCGCCTTGGGTTGTCCTTTTTGGGGAGTCTGTGGAGCCACAAACCTGTGAACCCCCGGGCTTCCTGAAGCCCTGGGGCTATGCTGCCTATGTTCCCAAGATGGGAAGAGCTGGCCCTGCACATGCTGCCAGGAGGCCGCCCTTCAACCCGAACAAGGAAGCACCGTCCTCCAGAGCACAGGCGCAGAATCTAGGCCTCAAAAAGAGGCACAATTTGCTCAGCGTCATCTAGTAGGTAAGAGCGCAGAGCAGAAAATTCAAGGGTGGTGGAGGTGCATCCTTCCTTTCCCATCCGGACTCAATTCCTCCTAGATCGCCCGCTTTACCCCCTCCCACCCACCCACAAGTTCAAGCTTCGCCCCGAACGGAGAACGCGTGCGTGCAATTGTGGCTTCACGCCAGCAAAATGCGCACATGCGCAGGTCAACCTGCGTGAGCCAGCACGCACGCGCGCTGACCTGTGGAAGGAGATGCCGCGATTGCGTGTCTCGCGCGTATCCCGAGTGCAGCAGCCGGCGGCGGAGCAGTGACGCGGCATCTGGGGAAGAGGCGGGAGCTTGGTCGCGGGCGGCTGGCTGGCCCGTAGGGTCCTCGAGCCCCCAGCCGCCGCTCCGGTTCAGGCAGCCCTGGCTTGCCGAGTCTCCCTCTGCCCGATTTCGCCCGAGCCCCTTCCCAGCCCTTTCTCGGGCTCCCGTCCGCGGCACTCACGGTCTCGCCATTGCTGAGCCGCCGGAGCCTCGCGAGATGTGGCGAGTGGCGGAAGTTGAAACCATAGAGACTGGGAAGTACAGGACGCTGTCCTGAGGGGCGGGTCTGGACCCGGAAATGATGGGAGCATGGGGTCGCAACTGTGAACGCTACGTTCTAAGCTCCCCGTACGCTTTCGTCTTCGCAAAGTAAGCCCCTCGCCGTGCCCTTTGTGGCTATTGGCTGTCGACCAGTAGTGCCCTTGGCCCGGACCATGCATTCTCGGCGGTCCCGAATGCAAGAGAAGAAACTTCAACGGCAAGAAAAGGGGCCTGGACTCGAGTTCAAACCCGACAAAAACCAGTGCTCACGACTTCTGGAGCGGTGCCTCTAATTGGAAGGGTGGGCAATGCCAGTGATTACGTTTTGGGAAATGTGATGGGCACAGGCTCTGTGCTAGCGACTTCGGTCAGGTACCCGAAAGGGGAAAGCTAAGGGCCTTCCTAGAAAGGGAGGCCAGAAATTGGGTTTGTGCTGGTGGGGCTGCTTCCCTGGCCCCTCCCACCAGATGGTAAAAACAGCCACTCAGCAGCTTAGAAAAAAGCAGGTTACTGTTCCAATTTCCCCAAGAACCTTAATTATGGAATGGACTTAAGAATGTTTACGTTTAAAATAATTGAAGCACCTTTTATTAATTTCCTCAGCAGTGCTTTTTGAAGCCCTTTCAGGGAATACAGTTTTTCAGTTTGAAAGGAAATGCTTTCCCCCTACAAATCCACTTGGAAAAAGGCAGGTATCTGGACGGGGAATTTTGTCAAAGTGCAGCACAAGGGACAGATGATGCTTCAATACAGAAACTTTAATAGGTAAACATATCTTGTAATGTTACAGTGTGTGTGGGGGGGAATACAAAGGGATGGGTGCCAGCACAACTCTCCCATTCAGTATTCTTCCCCTTCTTCAGCCTCAGCTTCCACGGAATCCACGCCCACCTCTTCATAATCTTTCTCCAGAGCTGCCAGGTCCTCCCGGGCCTCGGAGAACTCCCCTTCCTCCATGCCCTCCCCCACATACCAATGCACAAAGGCTCGCTTTGCATACATGAGGTCGAACTTATGGTCCAGGCGGGCCCAGGCCTCGGCGATGGCGGTGGTGTTGCTCAGCATGCACACAGCCCGCTGCACCTTGGCCAGGTCTCCCCCAGGGACGACGGTGGGGGGCTGGTAGTTGATGCCCACCTGCCAGAGAAGAAGAAAGTAGAGGGAAGTTTGTATTGTGGCCTCAGAAATGGTAGCTTGTTTTTGAAAACGAGCTGTGGGCCCAGTTTAAATTAAGCCCTATAGAAACTGGTACATTAGTTTTTGGCAATATTTGTCAACATTTAATATCCTTTAACTGCTTACATCTTTGTTTCTTTTGATTGATTGGTTTCAGGGCTCGAGAAACATCAATTTACTTTTCCATTTATCTATGTATTTCATTGTTTTTTTGGGGTGTGCCCTGACTGGGGATTGAACCTGCAACCCTGGCATATAGGGGGGCTGCTCTAACCTACTTAGCTATCTAGCGAAGGCCGATCATATACTTTCACAGTTTGGATTTACTCACACAAGAACATAAAGCTACATGTATAAAGACTTCTCTGTATTTAAAGTGCTGTTTGTAATGGCAAAACTGGAAGCAAACGCCCATCATTTATTACATGCCCATTCAGTAAAAGACTATATATAATTATGAAAAAGAATGATAAACCTGTCCTGGCATATATTTATATCCAAGGTATATTGTATATTTGGTAAGCAGAAAAATAAGTTGAATTCTATGTATTTAGGCTTAGAAATGCCCACAGAGTAATAAATAGACTAGTGGTTTGGACAACTTAGGGAGCATCATGCTGGAGGAAGACAAATGCCTGGGAATGTGCTGAGGCGGTCACCTATCTCTGTCCTGGCGAGTAGTCAGTAGTAGGCAGCAGCCAGGCACACAATTCTCCAGAAGAGTTGGAAGGGCAGGGTAAAGGGCAAAGGGTTCTGACCCTGATCAAGGGGCCCCATGGCTCAAAGCTAGGCCAACCAGCCCCTCCTAGTAGGAGTGCTGCCAGCTTCCCATTCTCTGGCCACCTGTGTACAGCAAGTTGAGTCTGCCACCTATGTGAAGAGAATGTGCATTCTTTGCCCATGTTGCTAGGCTCTTCCTGTGAACCTCACCCATATAGCAAGAGGCATAAGACATTAATATGCACAGAACATCGCTGTAAGGACAAAGCAAGCTCTGGGGAAAGAGAAGACATGAGTCTTTCAGCATTCGTGTTTTAATATTTTGCCATTTATGTGCATTTCTATAATTAAACTAAAAATATTTGAACATGGATGATTCCTTGAAAACACCATATACCTAAACAAATGGTTGTTAAAGAACATGGTGAAATCCACTCAGACACGAAAAAGAATTTTTAAAGGAGCAGGAATTCACATGATCCATCTGAGGTTGGAGTGTCTTCCCTAGGTACAGTAGAAGCTTTGACTTCCTGCATCTCCTCCCAGACCAGCCTCCCTACTGGTTCACAGGAGCCAGAGACCCAGCAAGGAGATGAACCTGGGCATGGGGCACAGCAGCTCCCACAATGCCTCCCAGCTGAGGCTGGCTTAGATGTTCTTAATTTCCAAAGGTCACAGGACTGAAACAAACTTTCTCCCACTCAGGAACTTGGAATGGAAGGTTTCAACTCCTACCTAAAAGCTCTATGGTCCAAACCGATGTAAGATTTAATGATTTTTTTTTTTGCATGAATCACATGCAATTTCCAAAATGACGGTTTACAAATGTAGGGGGTCTACAGATGTATCTAATGCAGAAAACCAATTGTGAACAAGGACTTAAAGAAAATATCTACATTTCTATTATGTAAATTTTACTATTTCAAATTTTTTAAAATAATTTCAAGGTCAATTTACATTTCCCATACTAAATCCACCATCCTAATGGGAACAACGATCCTTCAGAAATTTTCTCTTCTGTTAAAAGGTACACTAACTGATGACCAAGAGCGTAGCTGCCATGGAACGGGTCTTCTCCACAAGGGCGGCGTCCTGTCCTATCGCAGGGCCTGCAGCATGCTAACAGGTAAAACCGCGCGTCATCACCCATCCTACCTTAAACCCCGTGGGGCACCAATCCACAAACTGGATGGTGCGCTTGGTCTTGATGGTCGCGATGGCCGCGTTGACATCTTTCGGGACCACGTCCCCCCGGTACAACATGCAGCAGGCCATGTACTTGCCATGGCGAGGGTCACACTTGACCATCTGGTTGGCAGGCTCAAAGCAGGCATTGGTGATCTCGGCCACGGACAGCTGCTCGTGGTAGGCCTTCTCAGCCGAGATGACTGGGGCGTAGGTGGCCAGGGGGAAGTGGATGCGGGGGTACGGGACCAGGTTGGTCTGGAATTCCGTCAAGTCCACGTTCAGGGCCCCGTCAAAGCGCAGGGAGGCCGTGATGGAGGACACGATCTGCCCGATCAGGCGATTGAGGTTGGTGTACGTGGGCCGCTCGATGTCCAGGTTGCGCCGACATATGTCATAGATGGCCTCGTTGTCCACCATGAAGGCGCAGTCGGAATGTTCCAGGGTCGTGTGGGTGGTGAGGATGGAGTTGTAGGGCTCCACCACGGCTGTGGACACCTGGGGGGCTGGGTAAATGGCAAACTCGAGCTTGGACTTCTTGCCGTAGTCCACCGACAGCCGTTCCATGAGCAGAGAGGCAAACCCGGAGCCGGTGCCGCCCCCGAAGCTGTGGAAGATGAGGAAGCCCTGCAGCCCCGTGCACAGATCCGCCTGGGAGAGAGCAGAGACATGAGCAGTGCCGTGTGAAGCCACACCGCCAACTCCAACGAGCCTAGGTCACTTCTCTTTGATCCACGATTTTAAATGGATCCCATCACCCAGGTAACATGCATTCCACTGGGGGGGAAGGCAAAGCAGACACCAGAGGTGTATGTATGGACACACTGCAGCCACACCAGAAAGGAGGACCATGGTTCATGCTTCTGCCTTGGGTCTTTTTCCAAATGACCCTGGAAGGCTTCCCAGCACCCTGCTTACCAGTTTGCGGATCCGGTCCAGGACCAGGTCAACAATCTCCTTGCCGATGGTGTAATGGCCTCTGGCATAATTATTGGCTGCATCTTCCTTCCCGGTGATCAGCTGCTCAGGGTGGAAGAGCTGCCTGTAGGTCCCTGTGCGCACTTCATCTACAAAGAGGACACGTGCTTTTAAGGACCATTGTTAACTCACCAGCACGGACAGACTGGGGGATGTTCAGTTCTACCAGCACGTGCTGTTCCTTGGAGGTGAACAGCATCTGTGTGTCACAGGGAGGCTCTATGTCACACACAGAGCACATCTGCAATCTGTGGCTCTAGGCAGGTAAACTCAACTCATGGCAAATGCCAGCCTGAGTGGAACCCCTGCACACAGGCAATTCTACATATTTATTTCACACCAAATGGTACAATTTTAAAAATGGTTCACACCGGACAGTCACTAGGTCAGTGAGGTTTTTGCCAGGCAGTCCTATCAGGGCACCTGTGCGGCCTGGCCTCAGACTTGAGGGTGACATTCTGTCATCTCTAGGTGACCACTGACAGGTGCTCTCTCTGCAGCTCTCCTCAGGCAACTACCCTGGAGGGACCCAATGACTGTTCTCCAATTTCTATTTCTGAGCTGCAGGTCAAGGCTCATGCACCGGCTGAGAGAGTGCACAGCATGAAGGTGACGCCTGCCTGACTCCGCCCTGTTTGCCCCAGTACCTACCAACCACGGTGGGCTCCAGGTCCACAAACACTGCTCTGGGCACATGTTTGCCAGCCCCAGTCTCGCTGAAGAACGTGTTGAAGGAGTCATCCCCACCACCAATGGTTTTGTCACTTGGCATCTGCCCGTCAGGCTGAATGCCATGTTCAAGGCAGTATAATTCCCAGCAGGCATTGCCGATCTGGACACCGGCCTGTCCCACGTGGATAGAAATGCACTCTCGCTGGGAAACAGAACATAAATATGAGACCCATTCATTTTCCACAACTGTCACTATATGGCATGCTATGTATATGCATTCCAGTGTCTAAGGTTTTCTCAAATGTTATTTTCTATGAGGTTTGTGTGATCCAGTTATCCCCGTAAAAACGGAGGTGCTAAACCACTTAGCTATGTGCTATGGTTAGTCTCAGAACCTAACGATCAAGATTAATTCATTTTATTAAATCTCTACCCTGTGTACCGTGACAAAATGGAAAGTACGTATAAAATACTTGTGCACACATTGCAGTACAGCTGTACTGAGAAAAAGCACTTGTGTATTTGAGTTGCCAACTGTGAACTAGCTGCTTTTTTCGAGGCATGCTGTTTGTATTTGAAAGAAATGACAAACTGGCTGTTCAGACTTGGGTATTTGTTATTTATGTTACCATCTTTGCTGTAAAGTAATAAAAAGTATTTTTACAGTTCTTAGTTTTAATTCCTAATGGGACAAGTGTAGGGAGGTTCTGAGACCAGAATGTTTGAGAATCGCCCTCCAGTCTCCAGGAACTCAACACTGTGGTTTGTCCTCTCAGAGACAGTCAAGGCCATCTCACAGGCCAGCTGCCTTCCTGACTCTTAAAAAAATATATAAATTGAATTTTTACAGAGGAAGAGGGATAGTCAGAAACATGGGTCAGCCATCTCCTGAACCTTCCCCACCCTCCCCCACTGGGGATGGCCTGCAACCAAGGTACATGCCCTCGACCGGAATGGAACCCGGGACCTTTCAGTTCGCAGCCAGATGCTCTATCCACTAAGCCAAACCGGTTAGGGCCGCCCTGGCTCTTTGTTTTAAAATATATTTTATTGATTTCTTACACTGAGAGGAAGGGAGAGAGATAGAGAGCTAGAAACGTCGATGAGAGAGAAACATCGACCAGCTACCTCTTGCACACCCCCTACCGGGGATGTGCCCGCAACCGATGTACATGCCCCTGACCGGAATCGAACCTGGGACCTTTCAGTCCGCAGACCGACGCTCTACCACTGAGCCAAACCGGTTTCGGCCGCTCTGGCTCTTTAAGGGGCAATTTCCTGTCTGCCCTTGCCGACCCCCTACCACAATGGAGGTCGCCACCGCCCTCTCAGAATGAGCCCGAGTCCTCGTGTGTGTGTGCGCCCGTCCAGGGGGCCTCGGGCCTCGTGGTGCCTCTTCGCTAGCCCTCCCGGCCCCGTCTCCCCGCCTAGGCCGGATCCCGCCGCACCCCCGGCACTCTCTGTGGGCTGCGGCCTCACGTGGCGGGCTTCGTCCACCCTCCCGCCTAGGAGTGTGCAGGCCTGCCTGTCTCCACGGTCCTTCCAATGTGCGCCGGGCCTACGGCGCCCGCCCAGCCCCAAGGCCTTACCATGGTGAGCGCTGCCGCTGCCGGACTCTGCTCCTCGACCAAAAAGAAACGGTAGCGAAGCTCCGCGCGCCCAACGGTAGCAAACCTCCGCACCCGCGCACGCTGCCACTTATAGGCCCGCCAACGCCCAGGCGGCCATTGGTCCGGGGCGCCTCAGGCGGGCCACAGCCTAGAACCCAGCTTCTGATTGGCTGTCACTCGACTCCTGTAGTGCGGCACGTTCTGATTGGCTGCGGGTTTGGCGGGAAGGCTGCGGAGGTCGAGGAAGGCTGAGCGCACGTTCAGGTGTTTCCGGAGCATTCTCCGACTGGAGATTGGAGCAGCTGTGGCGCCCGCCCGGCTGGGGCACAGGAGGTTTCCATGCCTGTGAGCACCTGGCGGCATGCGAATGACTCGATGTCCGCCTTGTGCGGTCACCCCCTCCCCAGGCACCTCAAGCCCTTGCCTCCCTGCTTCGTATGCGAGGCCTTTTGCAAACATGGCCACCTCATGGAGGTATGACAGATGTCCACCCTAAGTCTGCACCCTCTCACTTCCCCATCCCTTTCCGGTGCAGAAAGGCCTGTTCAAGCCAGCACCCTGAAATTGGGCAGGATTTTATTACTTCTTTAATGAGGAATGGGTGTCCTGGGACGAGGGGGTGGGGGTGGTGCCCATTTGGGAGGTCTTTGGGACAATTAACTTGATTTGTCCATTCCGTAAAGATCGACTAAATTTTCTTTAGAATCCAATTTTTTTTTTTTTTAAACTTCGCGAAACTTGTGGGCAGAAGGATCCAGGCTCATTACCGTAATGCAGCACTCTGTTCTGGGGTGCCAGCCATACCCTTAACTTCCCCGGTAAGGAGAGTGGGGAACCCGCCCCCTGACATGGGACATGCCAGGTTAAGGAATTGGGACTTTCCTATAGGACTTGAGGAGCCTCTGAATAGTGCTGTCAGGTCTGCCCTTGGGAAGATGGCATTGGTGATAGGGAGGAAAAGGACGTAGGAGGGTCAGAGAGAACCAAGGAAATCAGGAGGAACCCACTCTGCCTTTTCTCCCCATGAAAGTGAATCTTTCTGTCTTGTTTAGCGTGGGCTGCCATAACAAAGTACACACACTGTGCGGCCAGTGCAGCTCGGTGGAGCATTGGCCTATGAACCAGGAAGTCACGGTTCAATTCTGGGTCAGGGCACATGCCCGGGTTGCAATCTCTGATTCCCCAGTGTGGGGTGTGCGGGAGGCAGCAGATCAATGATTCTCATCTCTCCCTCTCCCTTTTCCCCTGAAACCAATAAAAATATATTTAAAAAATAAAACACAAAACAAAATACTGAGTGGCTGAAACACCAAATTATTTTCTCACAGTTCTAGATACTAGAAGTCCTATATCAAGGTCGGGGAACATTGGGAGGGCTTGCTTTCTAGCTTACAGTGTCTTACTGTGTTTTCACACCAGAGGACAGGGAAGAGAACAAGCTTTCTGATGTCTCTTCATATATACATATATATTATACATTATATATTATATATTATATATATTATATATTATACATATTATACATTATATATTATATATTATATATATGTTATATTGATTTTTGATTTTTTTTTACAGAGAGGAAGGAAGAGGGACAGAGAGCCAGAAACATCGATATGAGAGAGAAACATTAATCAGCTGCCTCCTGCACACTCCCCACTGGGGATGTGCCTGCAACCAAGGCACATGCCCTTGACCGGAATCGAACCCAGGACCCTTTAGTCCGCAGGCTGACACTCTATCCACTGAGTCAAACCAATTTTGGCTTAATATATATTTTTATTGATTTTAGAGAGGAAGGGAGAGGGAGAGATAGAAACATCAGTAATGAGTGGGAATCATGGATCAACTACCTCCTGCACGTCCCACACTGGGGATCAAGCCTGCAACCCAGGCATGTTCCCTTGACCAGAATTGAACCCTGGACCCTTCAGTCTGCAGGCTGATGTTTTATCCACTGAGCCAAACCAGCTCGGGCCTGATGTCTCTTCTTAAAAGGACACTAATCCTATTGGATCATTGCCCCACCATTATGATCTCATTTAACCTTAATTACCTCCTATCTCCAAATACAGACATATTGGGGTTATGGCTTTTAAGATAAGAATTGTGGGGAGGGTCATAATTCAGGATGTAGCACTCACTTTACTCAGGACTTCAACCACACCATGCACACAACTGAATTGTAGCCTTTGTCAGGTTGTGTTTTTAAGTACTATTTATTTTTCTGTTTATGAAAAGAACACATACTTAGAGTAGGAAGTGTGGAAATGCAGGAAAATATTAAAAACATAAAAATCCATAAACCTTGAGGCCTCCCATTTTTAGTATATTCATGTAATTATGCAACTATTACCATAATTTTAGAACATTAAAAATATATTTTTTAGAGACAGGAAGGGAAAGAGGGAAACATCAATCCATTGCCCCCTGCACACACCCAACCCAGTATTGAACCCATATCTTTGGTATGTGCCCTGACTGGGAATTGAACCCAGGAACTTTTTGGAATACAAGACGATGCTCCAACCAATTGAGCCACACTGGACAGGGCAATTTCAAAACATTTTATCACCTCAAATTTCATCCTTTTTTTATTGCCTTTGTATGGGTATACCACATTTTATTTACCCATTCATTCTTCAGTTGGTGAGTATTTGCACTTTGCAGATATTAATAATGCTGCTGTGAGCATTTGTGTACAAGTTTTTGTGTGGACATATGTTTTTATTTCTCTAGGAATGGATTTGCTGGGTCATATGGTAGCTCCATGTTTAACCTTTTGCAGAACTGCTAAAAAAAATGTATTTTTTTTATCCTGATTTTCTTAACATTAATCTTGAGCATTTTCAGAAATTGCTCACTGTACTTTGAGCACTTGGCTTTTAATGTTAGCAAAGTTCCAAATCTTAGTAACCAATCCCCTCTTATTTGGCATTTAAGTTATTTACAAATTTCATTATTATAAATAGCATTACTTCTATAGAGCAGATTGGTCAGACCACTGGATCAAAGGACACAGGCAGTTTTAAGGCTCTCGGTGCCTACTGATAAATTGCCTTCCAAAAAAGCTGTGACAGTTTGCATCATGGCAAGTTGAGTTTGGGAATGCCAGTTGCACACCGTCTTCTATTTTAATTGTCTTCCAAGGTAAATCACCAGAGCAGAGACTTGTGTAGGCAGTTTTGACCCCATGCCCAGCTCAGCGTGCAACACATGGTACAACTTTGTGTAACAGGAATGAGAGAACAAAGGAAGGCCCAGATGAGTGCAGTGGTTGGGATGGAAAGGAGGATGCAGGTGTCTTGAGTCAGCGTGAAGATTGGCTCCATGAGACCACCTGGTTGTCATGGTGATTCAATGCAGACCAAGATAATAAGAACACATTGTGAGGCTACACTCCACAGTCATTTAGGGGCAGACGCTGGTAGGGATGGTCTCAAGACCGCCAGTAACTCTTTTTTGTACTCCACTCTGCCAGCATCAGTCTTTATGCAAAGTCCTGGAAGAGTTACCTTCACTGAGCTAGCGAGGTCATCAAACTCTCTGTTCACCTGGATATCCTGAGGAGAAACCAAGAATCACTTTCTGAGAACTTGACTTTTTTACTTACACACACGAGGTCTTGAAGAAGGTCCTTAGGACAGCTTCTTTCCTATGGATGACAATGGTATCACTCCCCAAACTATTAAAATCAAGAAGAGAAGGGGCTCAAGGGAGGCTTCTAGGGACCTGCTCTATTTGTTAAGCTGGAGGCTGATACTAGTGGCCTGGTGTATGAAATTCATGCATGGGGAGAGTTGTCCCTCAGCCCGGCTTGCACCCTCTCCAATCTGGGACATCCCTTACGCAATCTGGGACTGCTGGCTCCTAACTGCTCACCTGCCTGCCGTCCTTCTTGCCCCCAACTGCCCCCCACCCCGCCTTTGCTGGCCTGAATGCCCCAACTTGATTTTGCCTCGGCCCTGCCACCATGGCTTTGTTATAATAATAACAAATATTATTATTGTAATAATAAAAGGGTAATATGCTAATTAGAGAGACCTTCCGGATGTCCTTCTGAACAAAGCCATGGTGGCAGGCTTTGAAAATTTGAAAATTTACTGACCTCTGTCCTTAATTTGTGTCCACTTTTCAGCATAAATATTGTCGATTAAAGAAAGAAAGAAAGAAAGAAGGGGGGGGGGGTACAGGCAGTACAGGAAAGGGGGGGGCTGCCTTGCAAGTGCTAAACCTGCAAATCCAAATATTAGTGAACAGTAAGCATTGTTCCTCTTGAGCCACTTATGCTCTCTCAGCCCATGAAGAGCCCAGGCAGGGGTCTGAGGTGAGACCACAGCAGTACCCCAGTCAGACCTGGGAGTGGAGCCAGAGTGGTATTATGATCTACTCTCAGGCCTGGTGTGGAACTCATGAATCTGAGCAGGGCACTCTGTTTCTCTAAGCCTTACTTTCTTCCTCTACATTGTAGACCTCAGGGCTGTGGGGAGGCTCAGAGGTGAATGAAAGTTCTTACAGAGAAATCCAGCAGTTCCAGGGCAGACACTGGATTATCCCGGACAGACTTGAGGACACCCAAGCAGCCTTCACTTCGCATGGGATTCCTGGACATCTAAGAAACACACACACACACACGCACACAAAACTGAGAAAAGCTGATCCTAGGGAGGCCGGAAGGGCACCCCAAAAGGGAAGATTGGGGATTCCTTGTCTCTGATGATGTGCCTCAGGATAGCCCCACTGTCTCAACGCACAAGGTGTCTCCATCAGACAGAACGCCCTGGGTGAGGCTTCAGGGCCAGGGGAGAGAGGAAGTAGACACTGAGCACTTCCCAGTGCCTGGCTCTGCCCCATGCCAAGATGCAGACACACAAGACATACTCCTGCCCTCAAAGAGCTCACTCACTGGAGGAGAAGAGGGAAAAGAAACATTAAAACGCAGTGTGATAAGTACAGTGAGAGTGTGAGCCAACTCTACCTGGGAGGTAAAGGTTGCGTGGGTGATCAAATAACTGCGCTGAGCTTTACAGACGAGGGCATTTCAGCAAGAAGAGCAACAGGGCCAAAGAGAAATAAGAAAATGCACAGCATGTCTGGAGAGTTCTAAGGAGCTTGGGTGAGATAAGTACATTTCAAGGCAGGAGGGAGAGGCAGGTTGGCAGAGCCCATATCCTGGCTGCAAATGACACAATACTAAGCTTGACTCTGTCCACCAGGGAGCCTCTGATGGGTTTAAAGCAGAGAGGGACAGAGGCATATTTCTGGTTTAGAAAGATCACCCGGTAGCAGGTGGGAAGAAAGGGCTGGCGATGAGAAACCAGCAGGCCAACAAAACTCCAGGAGGGAAAGTGAGGAGGAGGAGCAGGTAGCCTGAGAGCTCTTCAGGAGAAAGGAAGATGTGGGAAAGAGGGAGGGACAAGCTTCTGCCTGGATGAGAAGGAGCCCTGCCCCTATACACACCACGAGGCAGCCTTCAGAGGGAGATAATGCATTCAGAATGGATTCTGAGAACCCTACCTGCCTATGAGACATCTGGGGGACCATCCAGCAGGTGGAAATTTGGATCCAGAGAGTAAGAGAGAGGTCTGGGTTCTAGAGCAGGAAGTGGGGGGAGGCATGGGATAGGGTAGGGGATGGGAGAGGAGTAAGCCTCAGGCTGGGAATGGGAGTGCTGCAGGGGCCTCCTCTGCCAGTTGAGCGAGTTGAGGGCCAGGCAGGGCTGGATTACCCCCACCCCCCGCCAGCTGGTGGTACTGTCCTCTGAGCGCATGCTGTTGGCACAGTGGTTCTCGGAGCTGCTCTATCCTCATTGCACCCTCGCTTCTCTGTCTTCTCCTCAGCTGCTCCGTCCCCACTGGCAATCCTGGAGGAAGGAAACTCCTGCTGTGCACACAGGGCCACAGGTAAGTCTGAGCAGTGGCCAACAGTGCACCTGGGCTGATCCTGGATTCTAGCAAGGCCAGAGGAAGAGCAGGGGCGAAGATGGAGGGGAAGCAAGGGTGCCTCAATCAGCAGCAGCAGAGCAGCACTCCAGGGGGCTGAGGAGGAGAAAGGACAGCTAGGAGATGTGGTGATATCACTGGGAGGGAAGGATGGAGCAGGGAGGAGTCTGAAGAAGTGCATGCACCAGGCTAGAGGTGGGTGAGTGAGTGGCAAGGGGAAGACGTGATAAAAGAGGAATCCAGGAGGCCCCCTCCCCCACCTGGGCTCTGGAACCTGTGTTCCCTGCTGCCCCTCGGGTGGACTTATGTGACAGGGGAAGCATCTGTGTGGACAGACTCAGGCAGGTCTGCTGGGGCCTCCCCATCAGTCCAGCACTCACAGCAAGAATCCTCAGTGTCTTGTTGACCCGGAGGCCCAGGCCCAGGCTCCGGGCTCCCACCGCAGAGATGCGGTTGTTGCTGCAACAGAAAAACACATGCATTGTGCTATCTTCCGTGTAGCGGCACAGCGCCAGACTGTCTCAGACCCCAGCTCTGGCCTCAAATGTCAGCATCTCTCATGGAACCCTCTGGTCTTGGCTCCTTACACGGGGAGGAGAGGAGGGGAGGACTACAGCAGACAGGCCCTGCTCACTCTGCAGCTCCTGGGAGGGGCTCAGCCCTGGCAGCCCAACCATGACCTGCCAGGCTTCTGTCCCTCTTTCCCCCTGGACTTGCGGCCCCTCCTCTGGTTACCTACCAAGGGCTGAGAGTCTGCCCTGGCCGGGAGGATCAGCACACATAGCAGGGCTCTCCTCTCCCCGCAGCAGCCACATGCTGAGGGGAGCATGCACATGGACCCACTTATCAGAGTCAGCTCCTCTTCTGAAAGGGAGGAAAGCTCACACAGAGCATCCAGCCCACACCAGACTCTGCTGAAGAGACTTTACATACACCGGCCTGTGTGGTAGGAATTATGAGCCCCGTGTGTAAGCAATGGCCTTGAATGAGAGGATGTAGCTTAGGTGCTCCCGGGTTGTGGCTCAAGCCCATCATAGACCGATCAGTCTGGGAACTGAAGTGGTGAACAGCAGCAGGATCACGGAGCCCTGGTCCCTGGGGTGGCTCTGAGCCCAAACACTGTGACACGGGGGGCACCCTGTGCTCCTCACCTCATGTTGAGTTCCTCCAACACATTGTTGGTCCGAAGTGCCTCACCCACTGCGGAGGCTCCAGGGTCTCCAAAGCCATTGTATGAGATGTCCAGGACTCTCAGGAAGATGTTCGCCTGGGATACAAAAGAGCAAAGCCATGGGACCACAAGTGACGGTGGAGAAAGTCAGAGCCACATCCTTCGAGCCCAGGACACCCGCGGTGCAGAGCACAGACTGAGGGCAGGACAGAGGTGCCAGGGGAGTCTTGGGGCTTGGATGAAGGTGACCAGTAGAGCAGAACAACCAAGCACAGCATAGAGGGTGGGTGCGGGCATGAATGCAGACCCCAGAGACGCAATGAGCAGGCCCCATGCTTGCTTGGGGACCTCTTGAAGGTGGTACCCCAAGGCACAGAGCAGCTCAGGGGCCTAGAGTTGGGTGAAACCTGCCCAGGGGGCTGTGATGGGGAGAAGGATGGGAGCTTGTGGGTATGCTGTGAAGACAGACCTGTCACCTTGTGGGGCAGGACCCCAGCTCAGCCCCTGTAGGAGCTCAAGGCAGCAGCTGCCATTCCTTGAAGAGGACCCAAAAAAGATAGCTGACACAGAGGGCATGACAGGCATTTTGTGCCACCCTGGAAGGGACTGCAGCCACCCATTCCTGAGGCCTTTGGACCACAACCATGGGAGCACGTGGCTTGTTAGAATGTGTACTGGGATCTAAGTGTGTCACTCAAAGGAGCACCGTGCATGCCCCATAGGGAGCATGACACCAGACTGCACGCTGTCCCTCACCGTGGAGTCTACGATGTCTGGGGAAGGTGTGTAGTAATCAGCTGCGGATTCCTCAGTAAATGACATGAGATGGGTTACAGTGCTTTGAAATCATAAAATGGGTCTGGGAAAATAAAAGGCCCCTAACAAAATATCCCTTTCGCTCTGCTTAAAAGGTCCAAGCCTCTTTTCTGAAGAGCTGTAATGATGGGGAGCTGCTCCTGTGAGAACTGCCGTCAAGGGACAGGCTGGCTACGGGGTGGGTGGGGGCCTCATACCCCCAGTCCTCTGGCAAAGGAGACCGCTCCTGGGCCTCGAAGATGATTCCAGCTTATGTTAAGCTCAGTGAGTCCTGTGTTTTCTGCCAGGGCTGGTCCAAGCGTCTCTCCTTCCGAAACACCAAGACAGACCTTCTTATTCACTCTGTACGTTCCTTCAAAAAACGATACTGATGCATCCCCTCCCCCCAAGTCTGGTTCAGCAGGGGCCCAGGAATCTGTATTCCTAACCCAGGGTCGCAGGTGATTCTTTAAAAAAAAAAAAAAAAAAAAATATATATATATATATATATATATATATATATATATATATATATTTCTTTATTGATTTCAGAGAGGAAGGAAGAGAGAGAGAGAGAGAGAGAGAGAGAGAGAGAGAGAGAGAGGGAGAGAAACATCAATAATGAGCTAGAATCATTGATTGGCTGCCTCTAGCACATCCCCCACTGGGGATTGAGCCCGAAACCAGGCATGTGCCCTTGGCAGAAATCAAACCTGGGACCCTTCAGTAGCAGGCCAACGCTCTATCCACTGAGCCAGACCAGCTAGGACCCCAGGTGATTCTTATAATCTATTGGAGTGGTTGGGGGCAGGCAGGTAAAATGCCATGTTCTTGGCAAAGCAGACTGTTCAGGCAAAGGCCCTGGAGCATGAGAGAAAGTAGTAAGGCCAAGGAATCTCACTGATGCCTTCCACAGCACTTAGAATAAAACCCTCATGCCTTTTGCCATGTTTTATAGCCTCCTGTTGCCTCTCTACCCCACGGCCTAGCCGCTCTCCCCGGCTCTCTGACGTCTGCCAGTCTGGGTAATAGGCCTGCATGTTTATTGTCCTTCTGCTTGAAATGCTCTCCCTCTGATTTTTCCATGGCTGCTTCCTCCCAACCCTGCTCATTTCAGTTTAAATGTCATCTCTGCACAGAGGCCACCTTGGCCACCCCTCTCATGGGTGGTTCCCATTCGTCTCTAGAATCATGTCCTGTTTGTTTCTTTTGTAGCAGTAATAATTATGGAGAGTTATCTTGTTAGTATGTGTTCCTTGAGGCTGGGGCCTTTGCTTTGTTCATGGCTAGATTCTTAGAGGCCCAATCGGCTCCCAACACATGTAGCAGCAAGCAGTGAGATATTCGTGGAGCGGATTAAGTGTCTTGTGTGGAAGGAGTGGGAAAGGTGCAGGCCTCTGTGGAACCTGGGGAGCAGGAGCCAGAGCATGGATGCTCAGATGGGTCCCTCCAACCTCCACCCACCTCTGCCCCAGGAAGGTGAGCTCAAGTGTCTCCTGGTGGCCTTGGCCGGGTATTACCTGCTTGGTCATTTAGCTGGTTATAGCTCAGGTCCAGGGACTTCAGGCCTGTGTGGGCCAGCAGTTCAGCAAGGTACCGGGCTGCCTGCTCCTCCAGGCTGTTCCCTGCCAGCTGTACCTTCTGTATGGTGGGGTTTGCCATGAGGGCAGCGCAGACGGCCTGGGCTCCCACCGCTCCCAGCTGGTTCTCTGACAGGTCCACATCTGGGGATTGGCACCACTCCTGTCAGTGGCATTCAAAGCCAGGCGCCATCCTCCTCCACCCTGCTTCATCCCCTGAGCCTCCAGGCCTGAGCTGGCAAAAGGGGCTTTGTAGCCGTACTCTCCAGGGGTGCATGGCAACTCTGGCACCTATCAAGTGGGTTTCCTCAGGCCCCAGGTAACTTCCCCGATGCCCATCCCCACCCCATGTATCCATGAGCTTCTTTGTCAAGGAGCTAAGACCACCCACTTCCTGTTGCTATGAGAATGTCCATGATGGAGATGCGACCACCCTGTTGATCATTTGGGCCTGGTAGTAATACAAGCCCCCCACAGAAGCTCTCACTGCTGGGGACCTACAATTATAGTCTAAGTGAGCACCTATGTGGGCCAGACTGCCAGACTACACCCATGGCTGCTGCCTCCCACTCATCTTTCAAGGATTCCCCTTATGTGGGCCACATGCAGTTTCACTGATTCCCCATCTCCAAAGTCTAAGTGGTATTGTGCCATTTCACAGATTGGAAAGTGAGGCTCATCAAGGTTGAGCTTCTTGCGCAGGGTCCCCCTTCTTATTAATGGCAGAGGCAGCATTTGAATCCAGTCCCACCAAACACCCATCCCTCCTTCCCTCCTCTCACCCTGCCTAGCCCCTTCCTGTGTGTCAAAGGACTCTCCCACCTGCACTCAGGCACTGGGAGCCACCATATGAAGAATGTGCTGGCCAGCGGGGGAGTTGAGTGGGTGCCATGGGGTTGGACAGGAAAGGGTGGCATCAGCTTTGGGTGTACCGCAGAAGGTCTAACTCCACCCTTGTGATGAGGTCCCCTCCCCAGCAACACCAGCAGGTAAGAAGCTCTGGGGGCAGGGTGCACCCCTCAGAAAAGGGAGGGCGCAAGCACCCATGGCTTGTGGGGACAGGCCCACCTACCACAGATGCTGCTGCTTTTGCTCAGAGCATGCGCCAGGGCCTTTGCGCCGGCCCCACAGAGCTCGTTGTCCCGAAGGTCCAGCCGCTTGACGTAGGGATTGGAGGATAGCGCAGGAGCCAGAGCCCGGGCCCCCTAGGACAGAGAGGGGCCTGAAAGGCCTGATCCTTCCCGGGCTGAAGGCCCCAGACATAGATAGCTACTACCTTGGCTCATGTTTCCAGGGCTCAGCCCACTTGGTGCCTTCCAGCTGGCAGGCCCTCCCTTTCCCCATGCCCAGGGGACACCTGCTTCTTGTTCTAGGCTCCACCTAGATCCCACCTCCTGGAGCCTTTCCTGATCCCTCCCTCCAGCAGGTGAGGTGCCCAGTGCAGGCTTCCCGGCCCTGATTGAACTGTTTCAAAGCCCTGGTCCCACCTGTCACCCAGGTGTGAGGGTGGGCTATGCCTGGCACAGAGCAAAGCCAGGGAGTGTGTGGGACAGGCTCAGGAAGGGGGCTACACCCATGGCTGCTGCCTCCCAGGTCCCGTCCCTACAAGCCTGGCCCCAAGGTCCCTCCAGGGGTACCTGGGGCCCCAGGCCACGGTGCCGCAGGTTCAGCTCTGGGGCTCTCCCTTGGCGCAGAAAGCGGGAAACGGGCACAACACCGTGGGCCCGGCAAGACCTCAGGTAGAGGGTATCCTTGACCGGTTCTCTGAGCTCTTGGGTGCCTAGTACGAGACAGAGAGAAGAATGTGGGTCCCTCTTCAGGCACAGCCAGTCATCTTCCAAGGGTTCCCCTGTGCTCTGTCATTACCAGGCATTTCACTCCGCAGCAGCGTGTTCTAACTGGAGCGTCTGATGCCCCAGGAGCATTGCAGGGAAGGCACAGGGAGTTGCCGCCACCGGCTGTGCTGACAGTGTCCCAAGGAGAGCTCCCTGCCCACTTGATCAAAGCTCCCTGCCCACTTGAGCTCCCTGCTCTGCTGAACAAGGGGCCCTGCCCACTTGATCCCAGCCTGTCCCTTCCACTCCTGCCAAAGAAGCCCCAAAGGTGAGACCAGCTGGGCATGCCCTGCCCGGAGGCACCTTCTGTCTCCAGGTTAGAGTCCGAATCTGTGTCTGAATCCTCAGCCTCCGGGACCCCTGCAGAGCGCCCAGCTGCCGTAGCCTCTGCTGCCACCTCTTTCTCCTGCTCTTCACTCTCCCCAGACTTCTCGCAGGGACCCCTCATAGTTACGTCCATTTTGCATTTGCGGGCACCGATGTAGGGACTACACACCACATCACCAGCCAGGGAATTTGGGCGGACCCTCCGGCTCCAACAACCAATTGCAGCGAACAGGCTTTCCTTACAGCAAATAGAGACGCAGTCACTGGAGCAACCTGGTGTTGTTGGTTGCTGTAGAAACCGCCTCTAGTCTGCTCTGAACTTGAGTCTGCTCTTAGCTAGGCGGACAAAACCTTGAGCGCAAGGGTGGGCGCTTTGCAGGTTCTTATTCCCCCAGCCATCTCATGCGGTTCCAGCATCGCCCCCCTTCCCAGGGCTGGCGGAGATACCTGACTCTGGGCTTTTAGTTCCTGTGCTTGGGAAATGTGGGCAGTTTGTGGGGAGGGCATTACACAGGAAGGCTGGGGAACCTTGGAGAGCCTGGCCACCCTCCTCTCTGGAGCCAGTCACGCTCTCTGTGGGTCCCAGTTCTTTCATGTTCTAGGTCAGTGGTTGGTAAACTCATTCGTCAACAGAGCCAAATATCAACAGTACGATTGAAATTTCTTTGGAGAGCCAATTTAATATATATGTGTATGTGTGTGTGTATATATATATATATATATATATATATATATATATTGTATATAATATATATATTATATATATTAAATTGGGTCTCCAATTTATATATATATTATTGATTTTTGAGAGAGAGAAGGGAGAGAGATAGAGAGTTAGAAACATCGATGAGAGAGAAACATCAATCAGCTGCCTCTTGCAAACCCCCTACCGGGGATGTGCCGGCAACCAAGGTACATGCCCTTGACCGGAATCGAACCTGGGACCTTTCAGTCCGCCGGCCCACACTCTATCCACTGAGCCAAACCAGTTTCGGCAAGAGCCAAATTTTTAAACTTAAATGTCTTATAACGCCACGTCTTCAAAATAGACTCGCCCAGGCCATGGTATTCTGTGGAAGAGCCACACTCAAGGGGCCAAAGAGCCGCATGTGGCTCGAGAGCTGCAGTTTGCTGACCGCTGCTCTAGGTCGTATATGCAGCTTCCTTCATCAGGTACGTTCCTCCCCAACTTTGTTGAACTTCAGAATCTTCAAGTGTGGGTTCAGAGGTCACTTTTTTTCCGGTTTCCTTGGCCCTCCGCTGGACCCCAGCAACCCCAGTACCTCTCACAGTGCCTATACCGCCTGTCACTCATCCCCGCATCACCCAAGGAAGTGAGGCCTGAGGGCCGGGGACAGGGGCTGCTCCTCTCTGTGTGCCCAGGGTCCGGCAGAGGGAGTCTGGAGAGGCCCAGGGCAGCTGGAGGTTGGGACTGAACCCACGATTGGGAGGTGAGAGGGAAGGCTGGATCCTGCCCCAAGTGGATCCTGTCCCTTTAATAGCTGCTGGCCAGGTCCTTCTTGGACTCCTGCTTTATCTCCTGTTCAGCTGTGACTGCAGCTGCTCTGCTGACTCATGTGCCCCAGCAGCCAGCAGGAGCTGGGAGCATGGGCTCCCCAGTGGCCTTGGCAGCCTGGGGGCTTCTGGATTACAAGACCGCGAAGTATGTGATGACCAAGAACTGGTGGGTGGGCGTCCTGCAGAGGCTCCTGCAGCTTGGGGCTGTGGTCTACGTGGTAGGGTAAGAGAACGGCTCCTGGCCACGATGGCTGAGGGACCATGACTGTCCTGCTGGGCTCAGGGTTGGGGGTTTGATTCTTCAGGGGCCGGGCTGGTGGTAAGTGGAGGCCGGGGCAGGTTGGGACAGGGTAGTGGGTAGGCAGAAGGAAGATTTTCTGTCTGTATAGGGGCCAGTGGGTGAAGAATAAACCGTGTGCCCACCTGCCTCTTTTCCTGAGCCTTGTCCTAGCCCCATGTTGGGTTCTGGGTACCGAGAAGGTTGGGCTCCACTACTTGCCCTTGAGGCCATGGGCAGGGCAGGATGTAGCCCCTAACACTTGTGTGAACTATAATACTAAGGCCCGCAATAGAATACAAGATTCCCCGACTCACCAGTTCTGGCCGAATGAGGGGAATCTTTAAGGAGAAAGCTGGGACAGGGGGAGGGTTTTGGCTGGTGAAGGAATTGATAGGGGGCATCTCCAAGCCCATGAGTGCCTAATAGGAGACACCATGTGGCACTGGCTCTCTGAGGCATGGCCTGTGCTTCTGGCCTATGCAGGGTGTTGGGGGCAGGGGGAGATGACAGGGATGAGCATGGAGAGGAAGTAGGGGACTTGAGTGGTGTTCCGGGAGCCTACAGGGTGTGAGGGAGGAGGCTGAGGAAGCCGGCCCCAGCTCAGCCACTGCTCACAGTGCACCAGGGACACACCATACTGACCATTGCTCCTCCCCAGGTGGGCCCTCCTCGTCAAGAAAGGCTACCAGGAACAGGACCTGGACCCCCAGATTTCCGTTATCACCAAGCTCAAAGGCGTTTCCGTGACCCAGATCAAGGAGCTGGGGCATCGGCTGTGGGATGTGGCTGACTTCGTGAAGCCTGCACAGGTGGGTGCCTCAGTGCTGTCGCCAGGTGCTGACACCTCTGAGACCACCGTTGCAGCACCCGTGTGCAAGAGACGCATGTGATGCCAGACGGGGTGATGACCGCTGGTACTGTCACAGGGCTGGGCTAGGGAAGGGCCTTACATAGGAGAGGCACCTGGACAGAGCTATGGGGATGTGTAAGAGGCTTCCAGGTGACTGAGAGGAGGGATCAGGAAGCCAGGCCAGGGGCAGTACGTTTACAAAGGCTGCATCTGGAAGAGTGGAATGTCTGGGAACTTGACATTGAGCTTGAGCTTGAGGGTGAGGTGGGAGGAGCATGGGGGGGCCAAGCCCTGTATGCCTGCTCCCTGACCCGGGGGGCTGCTGTCAGGCCCTCCTCCTCTGCCCCTCCTACATTTCTGGCTGCTTTTTCTACCCAGATTGTCCACAGTCCATTTCCACCTCTGTCCAGTGACACCAGCCCCGAGCATAGTGCACACCCACCACATCCAAAGAAAAATCATCACCCTCTCCCCGGTGGCCTCTTTTCATCCCCCAGTGCAAAAGCTGGACACAGCTCGACCCCTTCCCGCCCCCACCCCATCCTCTCCATCTCTGAACAATTTTCACTGCTGCTCAGGCCACACCTGGATGAGGCTGGGATTTGCTAGTGGGTCCCAGGTGCACCCACGCAGCAGTCAGGCTGAGCTTCCCCGTGTGACATCATCAGAGCCTGCCAGCCCTTGCTTTCTACCCTTGGGAGTCTCCCTGTACATGATGGGAGCCTCCAAGTCCCTCCAGTTCCTGACTGATGTCATAGACCTCTGCCCTCTGCCCAGCCCTTGCCTCCCCTTCCTGGGTGTACACTCCCCCAAATTCACAGAGCTCTTATGCTCAGCACACGGGTGCCAGCCACTCTTCCTGCCTTTGGCCACCATCTGCCCAGGCAGAACTCACCACCTGCTTCCCTGGCCCTTGGCCATTCCTGCAATGAGGGGTCTACCTTTCTGACCAGCGGGGCATGTGCAGGACCTGACTCAGTTCTAGATCTTTAGTGCCTAGAAACAAGAGCTCCTAGAAAATTCTGGTTCAGGGAATGAGAGTGAACATGAAAAATAAACTTGTCTCCAAGAGGCAGCCATGGGCTCAGAAGTGGCCAGAAACCCAGCTAGCCCCCCATCTCACTGGAGGCATTGTCCTGGGCACAGGGTTGATGACTCAGTGAGACCAGGGCTCCTTCCCTCACACACCACGCTGCCAGCTTCTGTCCCCTCCCATTGAGGGAGCCATGTCGCAAACCCTGACCATTTGCCTCGTAGGGAGAGAATGTGTTCTTCTTGGTGACCAACTTCCTTGTGACGCCAGAACAAGTTCAGGGCCGGTGCCCAGAGGTAAGTTTGCCCAGGAGACTTCCGGCTGTTCCCAGCTCCTCTTCCAGCCCTGGGTCCCCAGCCATGTCCTCCCTTCTCCTCCCCAGGGTGCCTGAGAGCTCAGTATGTATTACTGTATTCCAAGCACTGGGATAAAAATTTTCTGTGAATTATTTCACTTAGTTTTCACAAGCACCCTGCCTGGTAGGAATTACTGCAATCCCTCCCAGCCTGGGGGTGACAGGACTCTGGACTTCTGAGAAGTATGCTTCCAGAACCTTCCACTATCATTCTCTGTGGGATATCCAGGCCCTTCCCCATCCTGATTCTGCCTCTGGGCACTTCCCTGCTGTCAGTGGGACACCAGGAGCTGGGCACCAGGTGTAGGTGGGCTCTAATAGCAAGAGCCAAGCTGGGAGATCACCTCCTCTTCCGTAGGCCCAGCCCCTATTGGCGTGTCCCAGGCAGTTTTTGTTGTTGTGGGCAAACAGCATACTCCTGCTCACTGATGTCTGGGTATTTTTTGCTATGACTGTGATCGAGCAAGAGTCCCCCCTCTCTGTTCATTCCTGAAGCAGATTCTCCCCCTAAAATCTCATCTTCCCTCTCACCTGGACATGTTACCAAGCAAGGGCTCGCTGCCCAATGCACATAGGAACTAACGCTATGGCGCCGGCTTTTTTTTTTTTTTTTTTTTTTTTTTTTTTTTTTTTTTTTAGTACATTTTATTGATTTTTTACAGAGAGGAAGGGATAGAGAGTTAGAAACATCGACCAGCTGCCTCCTGGCACACTCCCCACTGGGAATGTGCCTGCAACCAAGGTACATGCCCTTGACTGGAATTGAACCTGGGACCCTTCAGTCCGAAGGCTGACACTCTATTCACTGAGCCAAACCAGTTAGGGCTGGCGCAGGCTTTTGAGGGGAAGAAGAAGAAGAAGAAAAAAAGAGCTTTTTGGGGAGTTTGGCCAGCAAGGAGACAGGAGGCAATTCTGTCTCCCTGATCCAGGGTGGTTCCATCCGGGGGAGCAGTTAGAGCTCGTAGGTGTTACTGGTGAGTGGTGTTTCAAGGTTTAAACTTTGGCTGGGGGTCTTGTTAGAAACAGGACCAGTTTGAGCCAGTTCTGCAGTGGAGACATGTCCCGGGGATCCCTTGTGCGTCACAGCACACTCGCTCTCCTCCCCAGCTGTGGATTTCCCCCGCAGTGTTGTGGATTGCAACAAAATACCCACAGTGTAAGATTTATTATCTTAACCGTATTTTTAAAGATTTTTTTTTATTGCTTGGTTGGTGTGGCTCAGTTGATTGAGCATTGTCCCATCTACCAAGAGGTCACCAGTTCAGTTTCTGGTTGAGGCACATGCCCAGGTTGTGGGCTTAGTCCTTGATTGGGGGCATGCAGGAGGCAGCCAATCTGTGTCTTTCTCTCTCTCTCCCGCTCTCTCTATCTCTCTCTGAAATCAATAAAAACATATTTTCAAAAATAAGAGATTTTAAAATTGATTTTGAGAGAGAATCATCAATGTGAGAGCAACATCAATGCCCATGTGCCTGGGATCGAGCCTGAACCCAGAAACATGCTCTGACCAGAAATTGAATCTGCGATCCTTCAGTGTACATGATAATGCCCAACCAGCTGAGCTACACCGGCCAGGGCTTATCTTAACCATTTTTAAGTGTATGCTTTCCCAGCTATAAATTTTGTTTGAACAATTGGAACCCAGAATATAACTTGGGAAACCTATCTCCATGGTGACAACTTTCTTTAATTGAGCCCAACGTTGAATTGCTTGCTGGACTGTGTGGTCATCTGTCCCTTGATCCCTGGTTGTTGGTCCCACCACAGTTGCTGGTTGGCCCTGCTCTCAAAGAAGGGGAGTCACGTGCACAAACACACACAATGTCCTTCCCTCTCTGATGCTCAGAAGACATCTATTTAATGTTCAGTTTATAGCCCATTCTGATTTTTTTTTATATAATATATTTTATTGATTTTTTTACAGAGAGGAAGGAAGAGGGATAGAGTTAGAAACATCGATGAGAGAGAAAATCGATCAGCTGCCTCTTGCACCCCCACCACTGGGGATGTGCCCGAAACCAAGATACATGTCCTTGACTGGAATCGAACCTGGGACCCTTCAGTCTGCGGGCTGATGTTCTATCCATTGAGCCAAACCGGTTTTGGCCCATTCTGATTTTTGCTGGGGCCATGGTTCTGTGTTTTCTGGAATCCGTGTGATTCCTCTTTGCCCAATGCCCTGACATTTGGCCCTTCCTAAGAAACTGCCAGGGCAGATCATTCATTTGATCTGAAAACCCAGCTTCCTGAGACCAGCCAGAGTTCCTGCCAGCTCTCCTTGGGAGTCCTGGCCATCTGGCCCCTCCTAGCATATGTACTCCCCTAGGCTGGTCTTGAAAAACCCTGTCCCCTGTGCTTCAAGAAACTCCTGCACAGACGCCCAGCCAAAGTGGCTGTCCTGTGGTGGGGACATATGGTGCACCTGGGTGACCAGGGGAGGCGCTTCTGCCTGAGGCCTCAAGAGGGGTTTCCCGTGGGACTGGAGGCTCAAGTGGGATCTTAAAGATGTCTGGGCAGAGGGCTGCATGGGCAAGGACCTGAGCTGTGTGAGGTGAGGCAGCTCCAGAGTCATTTGCTGCTGAGTGGGTCTGGAGCCTAGACTTGGACTGGAGAGGGAAGGGGGTGACCCCAGATCTCAGGGGCACTGTGAACCCAGGAGGTGAATTCAATCACAGGAGCAGCAGACAGCCACGGATGGGCTTGGGGAGGGGTACTCCATCTTCTGTACGTGGCATGGACCACTCCAGTGCTGGGTGGAGGTGAATGAGGTCAGAGGCAAGACCTTGTGGTGGTCACCATGGGGACCAATTGGAGGACATGGTGGCCCAGCCAGGGTGGAAAGGAGGGGAGACTCAGGACACAGGTAGAAACAGGGGGGCAGAACAAGTGGCCCCACACAGTCCCACCCCCCAAAAGTCCCATCATCTCATTTGGCTTCTCGGAATCCCCAAACTGTTCCTTGACACTGTGTTCCTCCTGCTGCCCCTGAGCTGGGTGCCTTGGACAGTGGTGTCCATTGTCTGCCCCAGCAGAACGTGTTTGTGCAAGTGCCTGATGCTCAAGGGTACCTTCCTCTCCAGGGTCTGGAACCCCGAGAAAGCTCACCACTTCTCCTTCCTGTTGATCCCAGCTCTGTGACGGTGTGCCTGCATTAATGTCCCCGTGTTACTGAAGAACAGCAGGGGAGGGGCTAGCCTGTGAGGTCCTACTTCCCTACCCAGGCCCCTTGGATTAGGGTCCTGTCCTTTGCCACTCCCAGTGACTCCAGCATGCACTTACCCTTCCCAGGGTCCCTCCACCTTCCCTGTTGTGTGATCTGAATTGGGATCAGAGGAAGTTGGGCCTCGATAAACCACTTCTGTCCACACCAGGGACAGAACTACCAGGAGGAAAGGGGTCTTTCCTTGCTTTGGAATACAGCACCTGCACTCCTCTGGTTGGGGGCTGCTCACCTTCCCCGCTCTGACCACTTCCTTTTAGTTGCACCCTCCAGCTTTTCCATGTGCCCCCCAAACTCAGAGAACCCTGGGGGACTAAGGTGGGTGGGACAGGTCCCTGTGGACTGCAGGGTTGGGTCGCCCACTGGGTCCTTGACAACTCTGCTCTCACCCACTTCAGCACCCCTCCATCCCGCTGGCTAGCTGTTGGGCCCACGAAGACTGTCCTGAAGGAGAGACAGGGACACACAGCCATGGTAACCATGGGCCCAGTCTACCGGTGCCTCTACTGGGAATGGGGCTGGGATGAGGGCTCGGTCTGTGACCCTGGGTGGCTCCTGGGTACAGGCCTGGTGGTGCCTTTGTGTCTCTCCTTTTTGTGAATAGCCCCTTGTCCACCCATCCCCCACCACAGTTCTAGAGTCTGTCTTGTGTTTTCAAGGCATAAAAACAGGCCAGTGTGTGGTGTTCAACGAGACCCACAGGACCTGTGAGATCCAGGGTTGGTGCCCGGTGGAGAGCAACATCGTGCCCGTGTAAGTCTCCCCCAAATCCCAAGGCAGGGTGCCAGGACCGGCAGAGCCCACCCCTCACCTCCCCCACCCCACAGGAAGCCCCTGCTGGTCCAGGCCGAGAACTTTACACTGTTCATCAAAAACACTGTCACCTTCAGCAAGTTCAACTTCTCCAAGTAAGTATGGGTGAGTCCCAACGGGCCCCAGACTCCCCTTATCACCATCCTGGCCTAACCTCCCCTCCCCCGCCCGCTCAGATCCAATGCCTTGGAGACCAGGGACAGCACCTATTTCAAGCGCTGCCGATATGATCCCCGTTCCAGCCCCTACTGTCCGGTGTTCCGCATCGGGGACCTCGTGGCCGCAGCTGGAGGGGTCTTTGAGGACATGGCGCTGCTGGTGGGTCTGTGGCGGGCTGGGTTCCGGAAGGACTCAGGGAAACCGTTCCAGCCCATGTGACGGTGAACATTGATGTGCCCTGTGCAGGGCGGTGCTATAAGCATCCGTGTCCTCTGGGATTGCAACCTGGACATTGGGGGCTCTGACTGCCACCCCCACTACTCCTTCCAGCTGCAGCAGAGGAGCTACAATTTCAGGTGCCACTGCCCCCGCCCCCAGCACCCATCTGCTGCTCCCACGCAGCCAGGTGCACCTTCACCTGTCCTCCTGTGGCGGTCGGGACAGACCCCACCTCTGCCGAGCCCCCTGGATGCTCCGCTCTGCGTAAGAGGGCGGTCCCAGGCGCAGGAGCGGGTGTTCTCAGCCCCAGGTCCCCCAGGACAGGCCCTGCCCATTGCCCTCCTGTGCTCTTCCCCCTTCCCCTCATCAGTCCCCACACCTGGGTTATAACTGGGACCCCTCACCTCCAGCCCCTCCTCCACCCCGCCCTGCCTCAGCAGCTCCCCTCCACAGCACAGGGGGGTCCTTTTTTACTTTTTCCATAAGTTTTTATTTTTAAAATTTCTTAAATCCATAGAAAAAGTTCAAAGATTAATATCACGAACATGTATATAATCTTCATCTGAGTTCACCCGAGTTTTTTATTTGTTTATTATTGTTTTACCATTTGCCACATTTGCTTCTCCCTTCCTCTCTAGAATGAGCCAGATAGAATTAGATAGATTTCAGATGCAACCGTTGAAAAGTAAGTGGCAGACATCTAGATACTCACTCACCCCTCTCAACACTGTGCTGAGAATGAGGGCATTCCCTATGGGAGGTTCTTTGTTGTCACACTCAAAAACTTCAGCAATGGCAGGCTCTGGCCAGTGGCTCAATGGTTAGAGCATTGGCCCACACACCGAAGGGTTGGCGGATTGATTCCCAGTCAAGGGTATATTCCTAGCTTCACTGACCTCCCTAGCCCTTTGCAACTCTATGGGGCTGGCTCCCTGCCCACACCCTCCTCCTCTCATCTCTGTGCTCTCACTGGCCCTCCTGTCTCTGCCTAGAACTCCTTCCTGAACCCTGAAAACCCAGCCTGAAAGTCTCCCCTGCAGGAAGCCTTCCCTGCTTCCTAGGGGAGACTGAGTTCCACCCTCTTGATGCTCACAACCCTGACCTGACCCTACTCATCCCCGCACCCACCCCCACTGCCAGTGTCTATTTAGAAACTCTTCTGCCCTCTCCTGAGGGCAGGGAGCTTCTGAAAGGCAGGTTCTGTTTTGCTTTCCCCTTGTCCTCAACAATGTCACAGAGCTGAGACCCAGGATTTGGGTTGTGCCAGAGGTTGATGGAGTCAATGGATGAGCATGATGGAGGCTTGGGAGGGCCAGCCAGCCTGGGAGTGGGCAGAGCAGGCCGCCAGACTTTCTCTTGCCCGCAGGACAGCCACTCACTGGTGGGAAGCCTCGGGTGTGGAAGCCCGGAGCCTGCTTAAACTCTATGGGATTCGCTTCGACGTCATTGTTACTGGCCAGGTAGGAGGGGCCAGGTGGGATGAGCAGAGCTGGGCTGGAAGGAGGCGACAGTCATGGTCTGACAGACTCAGCCCAGGTGTCTCTCAGGCAGGGAAGTTCGGGCTCGTCCCCACGACCATCACTTTGGGCACCGGAGCAGCTTGGCTGGGCGTGGTGAGTGTGGCCAATGTGGGTTCCCTCTGGTCGCAGACTGCGCGTGCCCAGGCCCGCCTGCATGCACACGGAGCCCCCTTTGCCTGCTGTTGAGACTCAGAATGAGTGGGGGGGTGGGGGGTTGGCAGGAGGGCAGGCTGGGGCCGGGACACGGGTCTACCCTGACTCTCCCAGATCACCTTCTTCTGTGACCTGCTGCTGCTGTACGTGGACGGAGAAGGCTATTTCTACTGGACAAGCAAGTATGAGGAGGTGAGCGCTGGGCCCACTCTGCCACCAGGTGCTACCACACGTGGAGGCTGTTGGCCAGAGCCCTGACCTAATGTCTTCATCTGCAGGCAAAGGCCCCGAAGAAGGTGACCTCCAACCCAGAGCAAACAGAGCCGGACTCTTCACCTCCCAACTAGGCTGCCCACGTGGCTTAGAGGCGGCCCTGCTCCTGCCCCAATGGCCACTGCTGCTGCTAAGAGCCAGACGCTGAGGCAAGGATGGCCCTGCCCGGGCTCTGGCCCCCACTCGCTGGCCCATTCTTGAAGTCTGTAACCATTCCCTGTGGCTGGAAAGGTGGGTCCCTCCTAGGGGACCTCATGGATGAGGCCCATGCAGAACCAAACTGTGGCGTGTGGGGAGAATTCTACCTTCAACTCCCAGGCAGACTGTCCTTCCCCTGACTCCAGCTCTGGAACAGTGCTGCCTGGGGAGTGGCAGAGCCAGCCTTGCACAGAGATCTGCAGTGGAACAGGAGCCGTGGAGAAGGGGAGAGCCCTGGGCACCCCGTGGCAGGGCGCTGGTCCAGTGGGGCTTCTGCTATGTCTGTGTCTAGAGAACTTTCTCCCAGGCTCTGTCCCCAGTGCTCCCAGCTGCCAGCACTGACCCTCTCACAGACTGTAGCCAACTCCAGCCCTGTCTGGCTTCTAACCGCCTCCCCTTGCCAGCACCCTCATCATAGGTAGAGCCCCCACCCTCTCAGCGGTGCTGCAGTGGCCCTGGGCAATCTCTCCTGTGCTCTGGAACCACCCTTATACATTGGCGAGTGAGTGCATAGCTTTGGGGAATGTTCTGTGAATTGGCAAAACTCATGCTGGCTGTTCTGAGCCGGTAGCTACAGTCGGTGTTCTGAAAGGAGGCAAGCAGACTCTTGGGGACAACCCACTAGGGCCCCTCAGATGCCAGTGGCAGCCCCTCCTAGCCTAGGAGTACCCGTCAGGCCTGGAGGACCCTGGGAACCACAGCAGCCTCCCATTCATGGGTAATCAGTGAGAGGTACCACGTCCTGAGCACCCACTCCATGCCAGTCCCTGTGTCCCATCCCATGGCTTTCCCAACCTCCCCTCAGGCTTATTTATTCCGGGGCTGAGGTGTCTTTGTCCTTCTGCTTTTCCCACTGAATTGAAAGTGAAAAAGTTGGTGTGACAATGTGTTAACTTGTTCACAGAAAAATGATGACAGTGCAAACAAAGCAAAACCAAAACACATGTCCTCTTCCCCCAGAACTTTATAATTGCCTTCAGGTTTATAGGTGGTTTGTGGAATGGCATTTAGGGGCACCTGCAGCCTGTCAGGCTCAATGGGATCCTGATATGATAGATTAGTGGTCTCCCAGACAAGATGGTGCCACTTGGAACACTGTGCCTTGGCCAGCCCCTTGGTCCCTTCTAATATTTGCCCGATATGTTGCCTTGAGGAACTTCTTAAATGGAGAAATCCCACTTTCTGCAGGAATGACAATTCCCTGCTCCCATGTGGCCTAAACATAAAATGTCCCTTGTTCTGAAATGCCTTCACAAAAATCTAGAAAAATGCACTTCAAGCTATGAGACGGGCAGTTTTGTAACAGGAGCTCCCCTAAAGCCTAACCGATGACCACCTAACGTGGGTTGCAGTGTTCTGGAGCGCTGACTTTTTATTAGCAGAAGGGTTCTCCCTCACAGGCAGCTACAGTGGATATACGAGGCCTCTCATGAATGATACAGTGAATTGTAAGCTTTCAGGGATATGGATGGGCCAATGCTTGGACTCTATTGAACAAGGCAGTTACACAGAGCAAACCCATGAAGATGTGATGAAGCACATTGGAGAGGAAGAAGTAAACTATCTCTAGTCACAGGTGACATGATCTTATGTATAGAAAATACTGAGGAATTCATACCAAACACATTGAAACCAACAAGTTCAGCAAAGGTGCAGGCTACAAGATAAACAGACAAAAACCAGAGGACCTAATGTATAACATGATGACTATAACACTGGATTGTATAGTAGTTGAAATTTGTTAAAGAGTGGAACTTAAATGTTCTGATGAAAAATCTTAAAATAGATAAATGTGTGGGGTGTTAATTAGCTAGATGGGAAGACTCCTTTCAAAATGCATACAAATATCAAATCCTCATGAGGTACACTTTAAATATCTTACAGTTTTCCAGTCATACCTCAGTAGAGCTGAAAAATACAAAAATCAATTGTATTTTTCTACACTAGCAAAGAACCATGGAGAACGAAATTAAGAAAAACAATTCTATTTACATAGCATCAAAAAGAATAAATTTATAAAGATACTTAGAATAATATGTCAATTATATCTCAATAAAGCTGAGAAAAAGAATATATTTAACGAAACAAATGCAAGATTTGTATTGTGAGAACTACTTAATTTCGTTGGGGGGGAAAACGACCTAATAAGTGGAAATGGCGGCGAAAAGGCATTAGGTCTTAGGCCAGTGGCGTCAGGCTGTACCTTAGTTCAGCAACATCGGAACTTGAGTTCTGGCTAAGAGAGAATTCAGAGTCAACACTCAAACTATTAAGACAAATTTACTTAGAAAGTCACTGAGGTAGAAGAAATGGTCTCAGGAAACAAGTTACAGGGGCAAAAGAAGGGCTCTTGGTGTATAGAAGATGAGAGAGAGAGAGAGAAGAGAGAGAAAGAGAGAAGGGGGTGGGGGAAGGTCCGGGCATGCCCTATAGAGATAGCCACATTGGGTCCTCCATCTTTCGGGAATTTATCTGGAGGTCTCAGGAGGGGATCCCAATAGAATACGCATCGGCTTTCCAGCTGTGTCCTTTCCGGATGGTGGTCTCCACTGATTGGTCAGGGTCACAGGAGGGGTCATTATTCCATGCAGCTGGTCCCATGTCAGAACTCATTGCTATTTTTTCCTCTGCCTTTGTCTCCTATAGCTTCTGTCCTCTCTGGACACCCCCAGCCCCACCCCTAGCCTGCTATCCTCCCCAGTTATCAATGAGTGCATAAATAAGTGGAACAACAAATCGACATTTCTCTCTCACTAAAATCAGTCAATAAAAAATGATACATTTTACCAGCCTACGGTGCTAACAGCATCAGTAAAAGGATGCTAACTGAATAGCCCTTGCAGGGATTTGCTCTGGCTTAAGTCTGTCAAGGCCTGACACAGTTAGCAGCCCTCATAACTTCTGACACCCCTGTACAAAGACTACATTTTACCCATAAACACATATAGCTCAGGAGGGATGAGCTACCATAGAGAGGTCTCCACCGAAAACAGGGGCTCCTCTCCCTACTACCCCCGCCGCCGTCCCTCCCAGCGGCTCAGGAGGCCTCAGCCCCCTCATGGCGCCATGGAGTCACCACTTCCCGCCCAAACTGCTGACCAATCAAAAAAGAGTTTGTCTCAAGAAAAGAGCCAATCGCCATTGGAGTTCCCTCCTAAGGGTCTGCCCCCAGAGCAGCCAGAGCCAATGACAATTGTGCGGATGGCGTGTCAATCAGGACTCGGCGCAGCGTGGAGGGCGGGCAGTTGGGCGAGCGGCGTTGGACGGAGGAGGCGGGAGCACGCACGGCTGAGGCCAGGCAGTGAGCAACATGGTATGACGGGCCGCGTGGTGGCGGGGAGCCGGGAGGTTATGCCTCGGTGGCAGCAGGGCAGGAGGGTGTCATTCCTGACCCCACTGGGACTGGAGCGCTACCCAGGGTCCTGTCCCGAGCATGTTGGTCAAGGTTGGGTGCCAGACACACTCCGGTACAGTCACGCTCCGCTGCCCCACCCCACCCCCCACAAGTGGGAAGGCCGTGGGGCACCCCTTAAAACTGCTGTGGTAGCCGGAAGCGGTTTGGCTCAGTGGATAGAGCGTCAGCCTGCGGACTGAAAAGTCCCCGGTTCGATTCTGGTCAAGGGCATGTACCTTGGTTGCAGGCACATCCCTAATAGGGGGTGTGCAGGAGGCAGCTGGTCGATGTCTCTCTCTCATCGATGTTTCTAACTCTAGCTCTCTCCCTTCCTCTCTGTAAAAAAAATAAATAAAGCATATATTTTTTTAAGTTGAAAAAAAAATTTTTTTTTTAAACTGCTGTAGTAAGTCATGCCAGGGGGCCACAGAACCAATGACTGTGGGAGAGATGGTGTGATCACGTTTACCAGCGACCACTCTTGGATATAAACATGTAGACTGCAGTTGTAGATATGTAATATATTTTTTAATCTTTCTTGTTGAAAGTATTACATTAACCCCTTCCAGCTCTTCATCCCCCTTCACCACCATATTGTTAGATATGTAATGTTTATGTCAGCAAAATTACTGCAGTGGTTTTTCTTTTCAACATATGTTAAAAATGTTGGTAAACTCATAATCAAAAAATTCCTGTTAATTTAGTTATAAGCAAATCTTGGTTAAAAGCATTTTAAAATTAACACAATGCTCATTTTCACATATGGCAAACGGACCTGAAATTTTGTCCGTTGTATCCGAAGTTCCTTAAATTGAGGTCCACAAAATCGAGGGTTTACCACTTCCTGTGGTAGGGTGGTGCAGCCTGTCCCTCTCATTGGGACACATTTTCAGATAGTAATGCTGTAAAGCTTAGATAAGTGTTATTTCTTCCACCAATTCAGTGCCAGAGAGGGCATTTTGTGCCAATAGGGTCAATGGAACCCAACATCAAATTTACAAATGAAAACTGAATGCTCAGTTTCACAGGTTCTCCATGTTAAATACCCTCTCTTTTCACGAATACCAGAAAGCCCCTTAATCTGACTACAGCTCCAACATGCAATAATGAAACCATGTTGCCATCACAATCCCCTGTGTTCCTTTATGTCTCGATATTGATTTCTTATTCCTGCTTGCTGATCCTCCAGCCATGTTTTACTTCCTCCTGACAGTCACTGTTACAGTGTTCTATGCCTTACCCAGCCAGTTTCTCCTTGATATTTCCATTCCACCCACATCCCTGTGCATGGAGCAGCACCGACAGCTTCAGTGTTCTATTTCTGACCCTGTCGGGAGGAAGCGGGAGATGGCTGTCTGGTGGGACAGTGTTCATAAAGTCTGCAGTAGTGTACAGTGATGTCCTAGGCCAGTGGTCGGCAAACTCATTGGTCCACAGAGCCAAAGATCAACAGTGCAACGATTGAAATTTCTTTGGAGAGCCAATTTTTTTTTTAACTTAAAACTTCTTCTAAGGCCACTTCTTCCAAATAGACTCGCCCAGGCCATGGTATTTGGTGGAAGAGCCACACTCAAGGGGCCAAAGAGCCGCATGTGGCTCTAGCCGCAGTTTGCTGACCACGGTCCTAGGCCTTCACATTCACTCACCACTTAACTCACTTCCAGTACTGCAAGCTTCATTCAGGATAAGTGCCCACTACAGGTGTACCATTTTTTTATATTTTGTATTTTACTATACTTTTTTTTATGTTTAGACATGTTTAGATACACAAATACCATTGTGTTATAATTACCTACAGTATTCAATACAGTAATATGCTGTGCAGGTTTTAGCCTAGGAGCAGTAGGCTGTGCCATGTAATTAGGCTGTACCATCTAGGTTTGTGTAAGTGCACTCTATGATGTTCAAACAGTGACAAGAAATCGCCTAATGATGCATTCCTCAGAATGCATTCCTGTCATTAAGGGTTGTATGACTCCTAACTTACGAATCAGGTTTTATTGTCATGCCATATAGTGACAACGGCCTTAAAGATGATGGGGCAGGGGTCTCACATGTATGCTCTGTTTCCTAGCGCGAGTGCATTTCTATCCACGTGGGACAGGCCGGTGTCCAGATCGGCAATGCCTGCTGGGAATTATACTGCCTTGAACATGGCATTCAGCCTGACGGGCAGATGCCAAGTGACAAAACCATTGGTGGTGGGGATGACTCCTTCAACACGTTCTTCAGCGAGACTGGGGCTGGCAAGCATGTGCCCAGAGCAGTGTTTGTGGACCTGGAGCCCACCGTGGTTGGTAGGTACTGGGGCAAGCAGTTTGGTGGGAGGGCCTCGTTAATCCCCCAGGGTTCTCCTTCGCATTCCTCTGCAGAAAGGATAGATGGACACACAGGTAAGCCGTGACCGTGTCAGGTGAGAAACTGAAAGGTTAGTGCTTGAAATGTGGGGCTTGGGCTCCTGACTTAGGAAAACATAACATACAGCAAAAAGTTTTTGCCAAAACCGGTTTGGCTCAATGGATAGAGCGTCGGCTTGGGGACTGAAGGGTCCCGGGTTCGATTCCGGTCAAGGGCATGTACCTTGGTTGCGGGCACATCCCCAGTAGGGGGTGTGCAAGAGGCAGCTGATCGATGACTCTCTCTCATCGATGTTTCTAACTCTCTATCTCTCTCCCTTCCTCTCTGTAAAAAATCAATAAAATATATTTAAAAAAAAAAAAAAAGCAAGGACACAAAAAGCTTTTGTGCAGGAGTAAGCTGGACTTATGACAGATTCATTCACGACTGCCTCAGCCCCAGGCAGGCGTCACCTTCCTGCTGTGCACTCTCTCAGCTGGTGCATGAACCTTGACCTGCAGCTCAGAAATAG